ATAAACTATAAGCTAGCTTATTTGGCTTACCAAACATTAGAAAAGCTAGTTGAAAAGTGTTTGGTAAGCTAGTTGAATTTTTTATTCCAGCTAGCTTATCAGCTAATTTTACCAAACACTTTTATCATATAAGCTAGTTTTTCAACTATAAGTCATAAGTTATAAACTATAAAAGCTCGAAAATTATTGAGAAGCTATAAGCTAGCTTATCAACTATCAGCTAATTATCAGTCAGTTTTACCAAACATAGCCTTAAATGATGTATAGTCTTAATTAAAATACTCAAATCATACCGAACATGTTATTGATAAGTGGTTTACTCAAGAATTAAATTTATTGTTATAATTATAATGTAAATAATTACAAAACATGCTTTAATTAATGCTAAAATTGAGTAAAAAATCAAATAAGAATATAAATGTGATAAAATTAAGTTTTAAACTTTGTAAATAAAAACACTTGACAAAAAAATATAAATGAAAATTAAAAAGTAAAAAAAGAATATATAGTATTCTCCCATATGTTTAGTTTGTTAAGCTATAATCTAATCGACTGCACCATCAATATTTGGTATTACCAGTATTATTTGTCGAGCGACACTAGAACTGTAGTTTTAGTCGATGTCATAAGTCGATTTCAAAAGTCAAAATATTGATAACGTCCTTTGAAAGGTCTATGCAATAGACTTTAGAAAAACCATAAACTAGCCTAGCTAACAAGATACAAAATATATTCTTTCACCTTAATTATATATAACTTTGCCTCAATTTGATCTTGCCTAAAACTTTAATCAATTGTACATGGAAAAAAATTTCTATAGAGCCATCGGATGGTTTTCTTATGGAGCCACCTATCATTTAATACATTGACACATGTCCAAATTGTATTTATTGTAGGACACGTGTCAATACACTATTGGTGAATAAGTGTAGATTGCTCCATAAGCCGAGCCATCCGATGGCTCCACAGCAAAATTGGTACATGGAAAATATTTAGATTCAGTTGGAAAAAAAAAAAAAAAAAAAACCTATTGCAGCTTGCAAGGAGACTGCAATGGATTAGTAGATGAATATTTTGGTCATTTCCAAACCATAGCAATACTTTAGTGGAGTTAAAAGTAAAACATTATTGGCAAAATTGCATTATTAGTCTGACTGTTAACGCTATAATATTTTTAGTTCCAAGATTTTAACTTTTTGTATTTTAATCTTGTAATTTAGTATTTTGTTGCAATTCAGTCTTTTTGGACTGAAATTGCAACAAAATTTAAAATTATAGGACTTAAAAGATTTTTTATTAGCAGTTTAAGTCCTATAATTTTAAATTTTGTCGCATTTTCAGTATCAAAGGACTGAAATTGCATTGATTTTTAAAATCGTAGGACCAAATAGCAAAAATGTTCAATTCTTAGAATTAAAAAAGCTAATAGATCAAACTAACAGGACTACAATTGCAATTTTGCCAAACATTATTATTCGATGAATATTTTGTTTTAATTTTGATTATTTTAAAACAATTTCAATATCAAAATATAAATTCAAGTAAATGTAATAGCATACACTAATTTGATTGTTTGAATTGTCATCACAAGATTAATGAAAATACAATCAGATACAACAATATTTTTATAAAAAATATATCATATACCCAATTATGGAGTTGGGGCCGAACAACGGGCTAGCATGTATCCTATATATGATGTTATTGGAAGGAAGGCAAAAACATGCTTTGGGGGGCAAGTCGGGCCAAGGTGAATCCATTGAGGATAAGGAGGCGGCCCAACTGACGATAAAACACTTTAGTGGGCTAGTGCTTATTATTATTATTATTATTATTATTATTATTA